TTGCGGAAAGTTTTATTTCTTTTCTCTTCTCCCTGATTTTGAAAACTTTATTTTAAGAAAACAGCCAATCCAGTTTGGTTGGTCCATGATATAGGTACAATAGTGGTGTAGTTGGATGGGGCTTGCAAAGACCTTTCCAACGATATATTATAAGCCCAATTCCGATGAATATTGAGGAAGTTATGGCCAATTTACTAAACTGAGCCCGGTTTGAGCTTTATGTACGGCCTAATGATCTAGGGGAGGGCCTAATATAATTTATCATTCCTAATGCAATTAGGAATGGTTTTAGTCTTATGGAACATTCTAGAAGGTTCTTTTCACTCCTAATTCAATTAGGACTCTTCAGAGTTTTAATCAAGATCAAATAGCATTTTCGATGGAAATTATATTATTTTATCTTCCAGTACGGGAAATTTATCAGATTTTCAAAAACGCGTTGAAAATCAGTTTGGCGTCCAACCCCAGGCCTTGGCGCCTGGAACCAGGATTGGCGCCAGGCGCTAGCCATTGGCGCCTGGCGCTAGCCACTAGTGCTGGCGCCAACTAGCCAGGGCTGGCGCCAATGCTGTTTTTCGATCTTCAGACTCTGTTTTGTTAAATAATCTTTTTTGGATGATTTTCTTTATAAATATCGTATCAAAAACTCCGTTTTCAATCATCAACTCTCTTTATTCACAAATCATTCACCAATTACCAATTATCATCAACATTCATCAATTACCATTCATTCGCAATACTCTTCATCTACAATCCATTCAATTCATTCATCTCTCATTCATCAATTTTCAATAATATTAATTCTTTAGCATTCTTTTCTTTTCTTCAATTCTTTCTTGCTTTTTAATACAAAATTCCGCATTCACAAGATCAAGAAACACTTAGCCGTGAAAGGTTTTAATTTCTGAGGGTTTGGTCCCAAATCTCTTTTTCAATTATTTAATTTAATTGTTTTGATTATTATTTTCCTTGAAGTTACTAACGTGTGTATTTTGTTATTAGAAAGAGGTACGAGGCATCCAAGTAAGTACTTTAATGGTTTAATTGATATTATGATATAGAAATCATGCTTAGATTGTTATTTTGATTCCTAGTATCATGTCTAGGGTAACTTTAATATCAAGTATGATTAAAAGTACGATGCTTCCTATTTTCTTCCTAATATTTGTGATTGTTAGTATCATGATAGGGCTAAAGATTTGATTTTTATTGTTTAGTGACATGCTAGGGTTTGTTATTAATCTTGTTAGTATCATGCCTAGGATCTTGTTATGCTTTAACATGATTATTATTATTAATTATGATTGATATTATTATTATTAATGATGTTGATTATTTATTATGTTGCTTGATATGCATATTATTTTATTATTTATTGCTTGATCACCTTTTATTGCATGTTTAAAGGGAATTGGTATTTGCAACCACGCTTAATAAGATAATTAATAATCTTGTTTAGGTTAATTGTGATTATAATTCAAGTGATCGCCAATAATAGTTTATTTGTGCATTAATATTCAACCAACATAGATTAAACATGTTTAGGGTTAATCCTATTGATTGTATGTTAGTCAGAAAGCGCACATGAATACGAGCAGAATAAAGTAGAAGCCTATTATTAGGGCAGGTTCAATCTCTTTTAGGTTGGATTTGTACCATCATCCCCGAACCCTTATTTGGTTCATGACCTTATGGAGTTGACGATCTCTTGGATCGTTAAGGGATGTAACCTTCACCTCATGAATGGTTTACAAGTTCCTTAAAAACTTGTTGGCGACTCTTTTGCTCTATCTTCTTACCTTTTGGACGCCACCGTACTTTAGTGTATGATCATAGTGGGGTTCAAGGTAGTGGGATTAAAGTCTTGAAATTATTCCCTACAGCGGGGGACACTCCATTACGGAAATTCTATGCGGTGTCTGTAGTGTTGATGAAGCAATTAGCTTTTTGATTTATTTTGCAATGTTCTTGTTGGGGTTGAATGTCTTTGTAGATGTTGTATGGCTTTCTTATTAATGGATTTTTTTCTTTCTCAAAAAAAAAAAAAATTATAATCCTTGAAATTAAACCAAATTAAATTTAATACTACAAATTGGAACCTACAATGATCCATAACAGATCCAAAATAAAAAATAAACCAACTATCGTTAGTACTAACATCCAAATAAATACCATATTCTTGTCAAAAAAAAAATACCATCTTAAAATAGATATTCCTACGTCTTAAAACAATTCACACATTTGACTTTTTTATTATTCATATGTTAATTTTGACAACTATATTTTTTTTAATTTACTAATGTAATACTCCCTCCATTTCATAATGTTAGTCCCATATACTATTTTGGGCGTTTCAAAAAGATCTACCCATATTGAATATATTTCATTTATAACTTGATTTTTTTTTTGAATTGATTGATTGTGTATTGATGACATGACTTTAAGTTAGGAAATTTTTACCTTAAATTATGCAATTATGAATTGTACTTTCCTAATGAAAATAAAAAAAAAATTAAATAAGGTAAACTAATTATGAAATCTGTTGTATTTTAATGTTAGATTCCAAATATATTTGTTTTCTTATTTTATGTGACTGATTCCATATGGGACTAACATTATGAAACGGAGGGAGTAATAAATAGACATTAATATAATATGCAATATCAATATGTTAAATAATTTATTTAAGGTCATCAAATTAATGCATTGACATTGTGTTTTAACTTTGATTGTCAATTATTTTGATCGAGACAAATGAAGTATACTCCGTATCAGAGAAATAATAAAAGAACAGATAGCTCTCGGCAATCAATTCCCAAATGATCTTCGTGCTTCTTCTACAAATCATTCCCCTTTATTTATTATACTGCTCAACATAAAAAAGGGATATTGCAAGGCTAAGAAGGCCACAAACACAAACAACTTGAAACAAGATACAAATTAGCAAATAATCATACTGTCTTCAAGCTATTCATTATCTATTATTAGAACTTCACAAAGCGCGAACACACTTATTAAGATAAAAGATTGTAAACCTTCGTATTAAACGGTTGATGGCTCCAAGTTCAAGTTATTACAATCTCGATTAAATCTTAGAATCTTACAATTTTACAATTTATAAATGTCACACAATTTGATTTATGATTTTACCCGATTTTACATATTTCTCTTAACTAGAGAAATCCTTACAAGTTTAAACATGCCAATATAGTTATTTATAAGTATACAGTCAATTATTGGTTGCTTAATGGGTAAGAAACTATTTTCTATCAATAATTAGGTTTTAAACTCATAATTTCAATATATTAAATTAAATTTAGATATGTCGTCTTGATTAAGCATGTTGTACGATTCTACGATTCGATCTTACGATTCGATTATGATAGCACCTTTCGATTCAAAGTAGAATCCCGATTTTACTAACTTTGCTATATATTCATTTTTTTAATTGAAACATAAAATGTATATATCTATACTTTATAAAAAAAAATGTGTTCCTAAAATTATTTATGTGTCACACTGTCACGTGTACTCCTTTTTACACCAATATTACATTACATCATCATTTAACAACCTTTAGCATCACGCCACATCATTATTCATTTAACAATGTCATATCATTATCCATTCAACAATATTTATCCATGGTATCAAATAGGGGAGAGCAAAAAATCAGGGTACCCTGAATCGGAACCGAAACCTGTTAGGAACTGCAGGTTCCGGAACCAGAACCTGTACAAGAGGTTCCGGTTTCGGGTAGCAAACTGGAGAACCTGTTGTAATAGGTTCCGGTTCAGGTTCTCAATTTTTTGGAACCGGAACCTGTAGGGTACCCTGAACCTGATAAAAGTATCACTTAATTTCAAATTATACACTAATTCTTACTCAATTTTTAAATAATAAATATCAAAATTACAATTATAAAAATATATATATATTAAATTTGTTAGACAATTACTATTAGTTTGTCTTATTTGCAAGTTGCAAACATTATAAATTAGTGACCAACCAGTTTTTTATTAAAATTTCCGCGAAAAAGTTAGTGAGTATATTATAATACAGGGTACCCTGAATCGGAACCGGAACCTACAGGTTCCGATTCCGGTTCCCAATTTCCAGGAACCTGTTCAACAGATTCCGGTTCCGGTTCTCATTTTGAGGAACCTGTTGCAACAAGTTCCGGTTCCGGTTCCGGTTCCTGGAATTTTTACAGGGTACCCTATTATGCTCACCCCTAGTATCAAATATAAACTAAAAATGAAGAGATTAGAACACCAAACCTCATTGAATGAAAACCACATTTATTACCATCTGAGTTAGAAATAAATCAATGTTGAATTAAAAATAAATAAATAAATAAAAATAAGGCTATGTTGTTATTGTATTTGAAATTTCAAATTTACTCACCATAAAAAATAAAAATAAAAAATTAAAAAATTAAAAAGTCTTTTTAAGCACCTAATACCAAAAAAAAAAAGATTACAAGTATCCTCAAGCACCTAATACCAACTCAACAAGTCTTAAGTTAAGAGTCTTACCATCTTAGCCATTTATTAATTGGGTTTTTCTATCCAACAAAATTATAATTAACTTAGATAAGTTAATTTGTGTCTTTGTTTGCATTATGTATTGATTGAGTTTGACAACTAAAAAATGTTTATAACAAGACTTAAAACTCAAAACCAACAAGTCTTACTATCTAAATAGTCGAATTTGATTAGCAAATTAAACAAGTACAAACTAGCAACCCGGAGCATCGTCCGGGCCACACACTAGTTTCTATTTCAAAAACATTCAAACTTTATGTTGATGAGAGGAGTAACACCTGGCATGTATACTTAATTAAGAATGTTTATAGAAAAGTTTTACTAGATTAAGCAAGCTATTAATTAAGAATTCTTTTTTTAAAAAAAAATATTGTAGACTTATTGTTAACAACATTAAATAAAATAGATACATATGTAAATCAACAAGAAAACATTAATTGTATGACTAATAAAGATAAGAATAATAATGTCATATGTAGCCCTAAGAGCTATATATAAGCATTAAATACACTCTTAAAAATTGTATAAAATTAGAAATTCATGAATAAAACACGCGTAAATCAGTGTAATTAGTATTTATATTTTGATGATTTCTTAACCACCTGGAAGAAAGCTTCAAGAGGCACTACCAGCGGCACTTTTTATTGTCTTAAGATCAAAGATTTCAATCCAGTAGCCATCAGGATCCTTAATAAATGCAATCCCATTCGTTTTTCCTGCATAATTTTCACCACAAAACATGAGAAACCTCCCATATTCCCTTTAATAAAAATAAATAAATAAATAATTAATTAATTAAAATAAAAACCCTTAAAAAAAACCTACTTTATTCAAAATATAATAGCTAATCCTTGTTTTTGTAATATATATATATATATATATATATATATATATATATATATATATATATATATATATATATATATATATATATATATATATATATATATATATATATATATATATATATATAAAAGTGAAGCTAATCTTAATGTAGTACTTCCTCCATTCTTTTTACTCTACCTGTTTTATTTATCACGCTAGTCAATGCAAAAATTTAACAATCTATAACTATAATTCTCCACCAGTAAAAATCATACTTCGTATAAGTTATATATTATGATAGTACATATTGACGAATCTAATAAAATCCCACATGAATATTTGTTTTTTTACTTACATATAATTCATAAAAGATGGTCAAAAGAGAGGTGATGAATAGAGTATAACTCAAAGCGGGTCAAATAAAAAAGAATGGAGAAAGTATATTAATAAGCACCATTATAAAATTATTATTCTCAATGCTTTGATGTATCATTGTATCCAAAGTTTTCAAACTGAAAGATCAAATTCTAGACAAACACAAGCACAAAGGTTTTGTTTTCCTCTTACATATTGCAAATATGATAATTACGTAGTATTAAATATGATCAGATTTATTTACTACGTATATGATATGAAGAAAAAAAACCCACCGTCGTCAGGCTTCTGTACAAACTCTACACCTAACTGTTCAAACCTCTCACATGCCTTGAAAAAGTCATCAACAGTGATCCCTATATGTCCTGTGAGCAAATACAAATTAGATAGCACTAAATAAAAAGAAATAGTACATCTGTTACATATTATTTGCAACTTTTGAATTTTTTATATTTTATAATAATACGTAAATGTTACATATAGTGTATAACGGAGGTAATACATAAAATGATACCACAAATTAGAAAATAAATTGGTTTAATTTGGTACAAGGGCCACTAATTTTAAAATAGGTGGTCATATGCATACCTAGTGCGGAGTATATAAAAAGTCAAACCATTCGTGTCACATGTTATCTCATTTAGTATTTTTATTTTATTATTATTATTCCTTTTCTAACATACAGAGTAAAAAGATTATTATTATTTTAAAATATAATGATAAAACAACAACAGCCTTAATTCAATAAACATATAATGTCATGTTTTAGACTTTTAGTTCATTTCCCCGGTCATAATTTGATTTCTTCGCTAGTATATGCAATTCTCATCCATCCTCCCCTTTTTAAAATGATTTATTTTCCTAATAAAAACACATTATTGAAAAATATATAATTTTGTAAACAACAAGAACTAGTACTCATATAAAAACAAGAAAAATAGAAATACTTTCTCTGTTTTTTTATAATTACATAATATTTTTGATTATCAATATGTAAAATTTTTAAATCTCGGATATTAAAATTGTACAAATTAAGATGAATTTAACAAGATCTCACATGAATATATTTTTACTTATGTATAAATCGTCAAATCTTGTCAAAGTGAAACACATAAATATTGTAAAAATCAAAATTGTTGCAACTATTAAAAAAAATATTTAAAAAAAAAAAAGGAAGAAGAAGTATGTGTTATTTATTTTCCCAAATAATACAATAAAGAATTTTGTTCTTAACATAATCAGCCAACCAACCATAAAATATGACCACAATCATAATCAATCATACAAAAGTCTATGACCAACAAGTCAACAACCACAAGTCCACAATCAACCAATCACAAGTCACAAGGACTCACAACCCTAAACTATTAATTGTACAACGAGAAAAGCCAAGAAAAGGAAATCTTCACCCATACACGGATATTCGCATACACCACATATCCTTAGTTCTTAATATGGGGCAGTATATACTTATTTAGGGTTTGTTCTTATTGACTGAACTCAGCTGAACTAAACTGAAATAAACTGAACTGAATTGAGCTGAACTGAACTAAACTGAACTGAACTGAGCTGAGCTGAGCTGAACTGAAATGAATATTTTATAAGAGAAGGAAATTAGGAGCTGAGCTGAACTGAACTGAGCTGAATTGAATTGAACTGAACTGAACTGAACTGAATTTTAACGTAAGAGAACAGGCCCTTACGCAGTGGAAACTATTAGAGTTTTAAAAAAAAGCGTAAAGTCTTACACATTTTCAATTGTATTCCCTTAGTTTTTAAATATTTGCTCTATTTTTCCATGCATAGAGTTTTAGGAGAAATTGGAGAAAATAATAAAATATGGAGGTAGTGGGATAGGTGGGAAAATAAAAAAATTGTAAAAAAACAAAAGTAGTGGAGAGAATTGGAGGAACGATAATATGAAATTAATTAAATATGATTAAGGGCCTGTTCACATTTACTTAATTTCAGTTCACTTCAGCTCCAATCAGTTCAGTTCAGTTCAGTTCAGCTCCAATCAGTTCAGTTCAGTTCAGTTCAGCTCTTAATTTCCCAATAAGTCTATTGTGCACCCTGGTCCATCTAGGATAGCTGGACCACAGGTGATTGTTCAGATTTTATTACCAAATGTTCAAAAGTATGGACGTGGTGCAGTGTTCAGTTTTTTTTACAAAATGTTCAAAATTTGCAATTGTTCAAATTTTTTTACGAATTGTTTAAAAGTACAAGCATACATTGAGATTGTTCAGATATTTTTACTAAATATTTAAAATTTGGGAGGTTCAGATTTTTTTTACTTAATGTTTAAATTTTGCAATTGTCCAGATTTTTTTTACTAAATGTTCAAAAGTATAGGCGTGGTCATTGCGATTGTTCAAATATTTTTACTAAATATTCAAAATTTGCGATATTCGGATTTTTTTACTAAATGTTCAAAATTTGCAATTGTTCAGATCTTTTTACTGAATGTTCAAAAGTACAGGCGTGGTACATTGCGATTGTTTAGATATTTTCACTAAATGTTCAAAAAATTTGTTGTTCAGATTTTTTTTTTTTTATGTTCAAAATTTGTAATTGTTCATATTTTGTTTACTAAATGTACTGTTCAAAAGTATCAGGTAATCGATCATAATAGATACGAATTGATTGATCGAATTAACTTCAACAAATTCAATTGACACTAGAATAATGATTTCATCTACAAATTCATCTCAAAATAAAAAAAAAATACATACAAATTGATAAGAACAGTAAAAATAATCAGATAATCGATTACGAATTGAAATTAATCAAATTAGTTTTCACAAATTCAATTGATATTAAAATAATTATTTCATCCACAAATTCATCTCAAAATCAAAAAAATAAATTAATATTGATCACAATGAGTTCATAATAACAAACTTAGATTGGTATCTTTGGGAATTTAAAATTGTCAAATGCAGAAATTTAATGGAAAAAAAAAAATCAAAGAACAGAGGAGAGAGAAAATAAGGATTTGAAAAAAAATAATGAAGTAAATTCGATAAAGAAATAAAAAGAGAGAGATAGAGATAGAGATAGAGAGTTTCTTAAAAAAAAAAATTGTAAAGATTGTGGGAAGAAGAAGAAGAGAATGAAGTTGTGTATCATTATATAAGGTTGTGTTTTAATAGAGATCTAGCTATTTTAGATGGACTAGGGTCCATAGAAGAATTTGTACTTAATTTCCCTCTCTCATAAAATATTCATTTCAGCTCAATTCAATTCAGTTCAGTTTAGTTCAGTTCCAATCAATTCAGTTCAGTTCAGTTCAGCTCCAATCAGTTCAGTTCAGTTCAGTTCAGCTCAGTTCAGTTAAGTAAATGTGAACAGGCCCTAATGGTGGGTCTACTAGGTGAAAGTTTTTAATTAAATACTGTAAAAATTTTCAAATAAGAAAATAGAGCAAATATTTAAAAACGGCCGAAAAAAGAAAGTGAAGCAAGTATTTAAAAACGGAGGGAGTAATATTTTCTATATATTTTTTTTTATGCAAATATTTTCTATATTCTTTGATTATTATTATGTGTATATAGGGTATTATTTGTGAGATATAAAAATATTTCAAAGTTACACATCATAATTAACAAGGGTAGTATTTTTCAATAAAATTTCTATATAATTATGTAAACAAAATGAACAAGGTATTGCCTTTAAATGATATCATAAAAAGTAAATAAAAAAATCTCACATAAAAATTGATATCCCCATCAACATTATTCCTCATGACTATCTTTATGATAAGCTTAGACAAAAAAAGATGCATGGCCCAGGTCACCTTGTGCCTAGGCACACCACATTGTTACTCTTGTTGACCTTTACTTTTGTGAATTTCGAGAATGAAGGAAGAAAGAACCGACTGTTGTCCTTGTGACGAGTAATTGACTATCACTTCATCACTAAAATTTGTATCAAAAAAGTAAAGAAAAACGAATCATTTAAATCATCAAGTGTGTCTCTTACTCTCTTTTACTTTATAACTAGCTTAAGGCCCGTGCTATGCACGATAAGTCTAATTTTTGTAAGAATATTCAATAAATAAAATTTGATAAAACATATACATCAAATATAGAAATTATAATCATAATCTTTATTAATAAGCAAGCAAAATATTAAACAAAAAAGGAATTTTTGGGCTGCCTAAACCCGAGAATTTTTTTTCAGGTAGGGCTTGGTTTGGTCAACAACTCTAGTGGTCATATAAATGCATTTTTAATAAACATCAAAAATTAATCAAACAATAGACCAAAATTAATTGATATTTTACCTTTTCCTACAATTAAACATATGATATAATGGTCAAACACAACATTTATAATTATACTATACTCTATAAGTCTTTAATTTGTTATAATATATACGTAGTAGTAAAATTTCAGAAACAAAATTATAATGAATTTGAATATATAGTCACATTGAATTTGATTTTAAATTTATATATTAGCTAGAGGAATTGGAAAAAACAAATTAAGTGTTTTTTAAAGTAACTTCCTTTACATCTATTATACTGTATGATCAATTAATTACTTCGTATCACTTTTTTTGGCAAAATTTAATGAAACTCCATTTGAAAGACAATTAAAAAGGATTTGGAATAATTATTTAGGTAAATGTGTATAGAAAAATTATGAACACCAAGTAAAATAAATGAAAATATTTGTCATAAATACAATATACAAGATTTGGAATGGTATTATTATAGAAGCAAAATCAAATATTAACTAAAAAAAAATTATTGTATAAAGATAACATAAAATATCTGGAATGATATTATTATAGAATTTAAAAAAAAAAGAAAAAAAAAAAAAAAAAAAGTTAAAAAGGGAAGGAGAGTTTTGGAGGGAAAAAAACAACACCAGGATGTGAAATGTGTCACTCTCGGTGTCTGTATTAACATTAAGTTATTGATTGATGTATTACAATTTCATATACATGGAACTTTTTCAATCTTTTTTTTAAAGACCGCTCAATCGAGTAGGATTAGTATTAATTAAATGAGATCAATCGAGCATGATTAGTATTACTCCCTCCGTCCCCAAAAGTTTGACCCTATTGGCCTAATTTTAGTCCCAAAATAATTGACCCATTTGCATTAAAATACCCACCAATTTACAACAATATATGTGTAAAATTAGATTCTCCATATAAAATTTTGCATTAAAATACCGCATTTGGGTCCGTTAATATTTTGGAAAAGAATATACATTTACTTCTTTTTATTTAACTTTCTTAATACCTGCAAAATCAACCCAAAAGGGTCGTTCTTTCGGAGACAGAGGGAGTAACTAATCACATTTTTACAAGTTTACAAAAAATTGATAAGAGAAATATTCTTATGTAAGAAGACTAGGTTAAGTCCCGTGCCATGCACAGTTATAATTAAATGGGTTTTTCTAAGCTATGCCCTTAAGGTTGTTGAGTTTCTAAGGTGTGCTCATGCTTTCTCAAAATTACAAGTTGTGCCCTCCAACTTAAGTTGTTTAATCAACTGTACCCTCTGACGTAAACTCGACGTTAGAATTGTAAATAAATAGGAAGTAATAAGAAGCGGATGAGAAAAAAGAATAAGAAATACACCGAGAGCTTGACATATCAATGATTGCTTTTACAAGAAATAAGGAAAAGAGATGAGAAAATTTGGAAAAAAAAATGTTAAATGTTAACCAACTTATATAACTCTAATCCAATCCGGGCATGAAATTTCTCTCCAAAGTGTGGAAAGGGAAAAAAAAGGCGGAAAAATTTTTAACCATGAAATGATAGGTGACATTCTTGGTTTTGCCATTAGTATAGGTTTATTGGTTAATGTCAAGCTACAATTTTAAGCACATAAGCTAGAACGAATGACTTCTAATTCGGTGCATGAATTAACCAATTGACCGAACAGTTATGCAAAGTAGTGCAAGACTTAAGAGTTGGATTTTAGGTGATAGAGCTCAAGGAGCACTTAGTGGTCGATTCAAGTTGATACGAAATTAATATCATGCAAAAAATATGTAATTTTTTTTTTTATTTTGCGATTATCAAGAGATGGTCTCATAACTTATTTAATATCCCACTGGGCTTCATGTATACGAAACTTAAAACATGATGGACCGCTATCAAATATGGATCATACTAAATTACTAGAGCATTCCCAACAATGAGCAAAAAAATGCTCATGAACAAAACTTTAGGTTAAATTAAAATAAAATTGACTTAGGGTGTGTTCACATTTACTGAACTGAACTGAACTGAACTGAATTGAAATTAAGTAAATGTGAACAGACCCTTACATCAATGAGTAAAAGCAAAAATGCTCATGAGCAAAATGAAAATTGCTCATGGGTTGAGCATTTTTTTAGATGAATATATAGTAACTGTGTGGGGTCCACAAGTCAAGTAAAAAAAAGAATAAAAATAATACGGAGAGAAGATGTAGTAGAGAGAGAGTAGTGAAGAATTTTTTTTTATCATTGGTGGAATAAAAATATTATCACAAAAATGCTTATGGGTTGGAAGCGAGAGAAAGTGGGTAGAGAGAAAATGAGGAAATGAATTTTTGCTTTTTTTTTTTTGACGGGAAAACGAAGAAATATTATTAAGTAGAAGAAGCGGTTAAATCAGCCATTACAAACTTATGTATCTCACTAGGATATTCTTCCAACCAAACTCTAAGAAAAGAGAACTTGTAACTTAAAGCTTTGCTAAAAACTGAGCCACTTGGTTTCCAGATCTTTTGGCTTTTGCTCATTGTTGATAGTACTCTAAGGGGCAAAAACATTTTTAAATCAACAAATAACAATATAATAATAAAAAATTAAAAAAAAAAAAAAAAAAAAAAAAAAAAAAAAAAAAAAACTTTTTGAATTCTATTGAGATATCAGGTATGAGTCTATACTTACTCGTAAGTCAATCAAGAAATAAGCCAAAATCTAAGATAAACATATCATACGTACCAAAGCCAAGAGGTTCGGAGTTTCCATTGTGATAACCTTTGAATTCTTGATCACTTTCTGTACCCCAGTTGCTGGGAAGTATTCAACATGTTAGAGGTAAATAGAAAGAAAACAGAAGTAGGAAGAAATAGATCATGAATATGGTAATTGCATCAAATAACACACTCACTGATATAGTTCAATTGTAGCTTTCTTACTCATGGTCCAAACAGTTCGCTCTATTGGATCACTAGGAGCTGAAGCCAGATCCTACGACATGTAAAACTAACATCAATAATCATTAATCAAAGACAGGATTCATATACTCACTTAAGAAAGTTAAGAAATCAACTTACAAGAGAATTAATATGTACTATAGACTAGTCAATTTCTAACCCAAACCTGGTACCCTAGCTGACCAGATTCCAAACTCGAATGATTGAGAGAGAAGCCAAACTCGACCCAATCGAACCCAAATAATAAAAAATTGATCAGATTTGACTCCTTTAACATAATTTTTATCTAAACCACTCGATTCAAACAAGGGACCAAAAATTTGACCCGAATCCAACCTGTTGACTCGTATTGAGAGGTCTAATATGTAGTTAGTCAACATTCAACAAACACGTAAAGAGCAACTCCAAACAAGAATTACGTTTTTGTTAGCTATCTTCCAATATGAAAAGCACTAGATTTAATGGGGTTATACATTGCATATAATTTTGCTAGGACTATATATGAATTTATTGAGGTTATACATTGAATATAATCTAGTTAGTAATCTTCCAATATGAATTTTCTACTTAAAAAATGGGTATAATTGTTGGTGGTAGAATTACATTTAAAAAGTTGAAAAATACCACCAACAATTATACCCATTTTCGCAAAACCACCCATAGTTTTTTATTTTTTTTTTATTTTACTACCAACTATTCTTCAAAACCTTAAAATCTACTACCATGACGTCATTGTGGGCCCCACCAACTACCTTCTTAATTTCCCTCATTTCCCCTTTTTTATTTTCATGATTTTTTTCCCCTGTTCCCCTCATTACCTCCCTCTCTCCTCTTTACCGTTTCTTTTTAGGCAGTAATTAGGATTTAAATATTTAATTTGTTCTTTTAGCCAAACAAAAATGCAAAATTGAGTGCGTAATCATGTTATCAGGAATGTATTTTCAATTAAGGTTTTAGAAATCAATTTGGGGTTTTTCCAATTGAAATTAGGGTTTTAAATTACATTTGGGGTTATGATTCTAGGGTTATATTGTAGCAAATTGGTTCTTATCATGCGATTTGTTGGTAGTTAAGGATGCAATCTGATCTTCGTACGAAATCTAGGGTTTGCCACAGTCAATTAAAAAACAAAAATTACCTCGATTTTGTCCTTTCCCTCGCTGAATTTCAACACCAGAATCTAAAACGTAGTCCTCCCCCCACTCCAATGCAGTTGATTTGGCTACACTTTTGGTCCCCCATTGCGATTTTTTAGAGAGTACATCTCGAAAAACCCTAATTTTAGAATGAAATTAAAGAGAGAGAGAAAGAGAAGTGATGAATGTAGTGTTTCAGGTTCAATTTGGGTGGGTGAAAATTCAATAGCGAGCTTTATGAGGAGAGAGGGGAGTAATGAGGAGAGGAGGGGAGAGAATAGAGAGGGAAATTTTTTTTTTTTTTTTTTTCTCTTGCCTCTTCCTCTCTCCATCTCTAAAAAAACCCCTAAAATCTTTGCTAGACACAAGGGGCTACCATCATCATCTCTTTGGTTTGATAATGTTAAGCCCCAATCCTTTCTTTATTTTCTTTGTTTTTTGTTTTAATAATCCTCCTTGTTCTCTCTTATGCAAGTTTTTTTTCCCAATTTTTGGATTTCTTCTCTCTTTTTGTGAAAGTTTGGGGTTTGTCTTTCTTTTCTTCTCTTGTGGACGAAGATTGAAATTTGTTTTTAGGGTTTTATCAAAAAGATTGGATTCATGGGTTGTTAGTCGTACAATTTTACAATTGGCGTTGGAATTGATCGAGAATGGGATCTACATGGTCAAGTAATGAATTTTCTTCCCAAAACTATGTCAAGAAGATGGACTCCCACACATAAGGCTGCATAATTCAGCAAACGTAAAATTGGGGATTGTGTTTTACCGTCAGGTCTAGTTTCTCATCATCATTGTTTCTTTAAAGAGGATTTTTATTTGATTAATTTGAATTGTATTTTACTTTTCTATATTGCTTATTGTAAATGTCGTATGCCTTTCAATTAATTAAATTTTATCTTTCCCTTACAAAAAAAGGAATTAGAGCATATAAAAGATGTGTCAATTTTTTCACCTTAATTAGGTACTCTCGGGTGTGTCAATTTAAAATACATAAAACAAGCCCTTTAGCTCAAAAATACTTCGAAATAAGGAAAATAACGAAATAACAAGTTATAAATATTTAAATCAAAGATATGCATCTGTAGACACCCATTTGTGTCTCCCCAAAACCAAACCCAGTGATGAGTACCTTTCACGTCGAATCATAATCGAATGAAACGAAAGTGTGGAAAGGTCTAGTGTTGCGGAAAGTTTTATTTCTTTTTCTCTTCTCCCTGATTTTGAAAACTTTATTTTAAGAAAACAGTCAATCCAGTTTGGTTGGTCCATGATATGGGTCCAATAGTGGTGTAGTTGGATGGGGCTTGCAAAGACCTTTCCAACGATATATTATAAGCCCAATTCCGATGAATATTGAGGAAATTATGGCCAATTTACTAAACTGGGCCCGGTTTGAGTTTTAAGTACGGCCTTATGATCTAGGGGAGGGCCTAATATAATTTATCATTCCTAATGTAATTAGGAATGGTTTTGGTCTTCTAGAACATTCTAGAAGGTCTTATCATTCTTAGTTCAATTAGGATTCTTAAGAGTTTTAATCAAGATCAAATAGCATTTTCGATTGAAATTATATTATTTTATCTTCCAGTACGGGAAATTTATCAGATTTTCGAAAACGTGTTAAAAGTCAGTTTGGCGTCCAACCCCAGGCCTTGGCGCCTGGAACCAGGATTGGCGCCAGACGCCAGCATTGGCGCCTGGCGCTAGCCACTGGTCCTAGCGCCAATTAGCCAGGGCTGGCGCCAAGATGGTTTTGCGGTCTTCAGACTCTGTTTTGATAAATTATCTTTTTTGGATGATTTTTTCTATAAATATCGTATCTAAAACTCCGTTTTCATACACCAATTCTCTTTATTCTTAAGTTTGAACCAACTATCTTCATCATTCATCTCTTTCATTCAATTCTCCTAGAATCATTCATCTCTTCATTCTTTTCTTAATCTCTTTGCTTTTTAATACAAAATTCCGCATTCACAAGATCTAGAAACACCTAGCCATATTCGAAGTTGCCTTCGCCCTAGACGTGAAAGGTTTTAATTTCTGAGGGTTTGGTCCCAAATCTCTCTTTCAATTATTTAATTTAATTGTTTTGATTATTATTTTCCTTGAAGTTACTAACGTGTGTATTTTGTTATTAGAAAGAGGTACGAGGCATCCAAGTAAGTACTTTAATGGTTTAATTGATATTATGATATAGAAATCATGCTTAGATTGTTATTTTGATTCCTAGTATCATGTTTAGGGTAACTTTAACATTAAGTATGATTAAAAGTATAATGCCTTTTATTCTCTTCCTAATATTTATGATTGTTAGTATCATGTTAGGGCTAAAGATTTGATTTTTATTGTTTAGTGACATGCTAGGGTTTGTTATTAATCTTGTTAGTATCATGCCTAGGATCTTGCTATGCTTTAACATGATTATTATTATTATTAATTATGATTGATATTATTATTCATGTTTATTCCAATGATTGATTATTTATTATGATGATTAACATGATTATTATTATTATTCATGATTATTTTTATGTTGCTTGCTTATTATTTATTGCTTGATCACCTTTTATTGCATGTTTAAAGGGAATTTGGTACTTACAACCACGCTTAATAAGATATTTAATAATCTTGTTAGGGTTAATATGATTATTAATTCAAGTGATCGCCAATAATAGTTTATTTGTGCATTATATTCAACCAACATAGATTAAACAGGTTTAGGGTTAATCTATTGATTGTATGTTAGTCAGAAAGCGCACATGAATACGAGCAGAATAAAGTAGAGGCCTATTATTAGGGCAGGTTCAATCTCTTTTAGGTTGGATTTGTACCTTCATCCCCGAACCCTTATTTGGTTCATGACCTTATGGAGTTGACGATCTCTTGGATCGTTAAGGGGTGTAACCTTCACCTCGTGAACGGTTTACAAGTTCCTTAAAAACTTGTTGGCGACTCTTTTGCTCTATCTTCTTCCCTTTTGGACGCCACCGTACTTTAGTGTATGATCACAGTGGGGTTCAAGCTAGTGGGATTTTTAAGGCTTGAAATTATTCCCTACAGTTTTTGGCGACTCCATTGGGGAGGATTTCTATTTTAATTCCTGAATTTGTTTCGGCAATGATTTAGAATGAGTGGATGAGACTCGAAAAGTTCTAAGTATTTCATGTGCGTAATTTTGATTAACATTATTGTCATATGCATAAAAAGGTTCTCATTGGAAAGACCATCCGTAATGAGTCAAAAACATAGGATTTTACACGTAGGAAATTTGAGAAATGTCTTTCACAACTAGGACCGAAATAACACCGCGCAAAACTGGATGATTTTATTGACCACAGAAAGCTGCTGAGGCATGTGGGAAGTAGCGTCAGGGGCCAGAGCTTGGCGCCACACTTTTTGCCGTAGCGCCAGACGCCAGTATTGGCGCCAGGCGCTACAGTTAAAAGTTGGCGCCAGTCTCTGTTTGGTGGCGCCAATTTCCCCCAATACCGAGCCAGAAATATGCGTTCTAATTTCGACCGGTTTTTCGTATTGTTTGCTCGATCCTGCTTCCTGATTGAATTTTTTCTCACTTTTCTGAAACCCATATGTGTTCTACATATGGACATAACCCTCTGGGAATTCATGCTCTATCTACCCGATTGAACGCTCCTGGCAACAAAGGGTACATCTGAGAGGTTGAGTTCACCAAACCATGGAAGTGAGTTTTTTCTAAAAACTCGCGGTGTCCTATCCACACGCGTTAACCCTTCACGGTTAGGCTTCTACGCGGTGCATCTGGACAATTAACCATGGACCCTATTTGACTAAACCATATCCTGAACTTTAGAGAACTAGAGCCATGGTTAGGTTGCGAACTCATTGCATCATGTTGTGCCTACTTGACTAATTGTGCATTAATTGTTGTGCATATATATTTTATGTTCCTCTTAACCGTTTGTTGATTTGTGTTGAAATTAAAATTAATGACCTAAAGAACTTTGCCTAATTAATTAATTAATTAATTTGAGTCAATAAAGTTTCTTTTTAATCGGAATTGACCTAATACGACTTTAGGCATACCCCAGTTGACTAATAATACCGAAAACA